TTTGCATGGCTGATGTGAATATTCTGTGTAAAACATTGGCACAAATACCTGCTTACCTGTTAGGCTCTAGATAAGTGACAGCATGATTTCCAATATCTGAGGAATCATTAATTTCCGTAATTACTTCAAGTCCTTTTCAAGTTGCATTGATCACAAGCCTCATTTAGTATCTATTTTAACGATACCTATATTGAGGACTGGATTAATTGATATGATGCTTATGTCTCCTCTTGTCTATTGTCTTAGAAGACCAAGATTGAGAGCCAAAGTCATGATGCATTACTTCTGCAAATCTGGATTATATTGTTGCTCTCTCTTCAGTGCAGATTTTGCTAACAGAAAAATTCTGGCCTGTCTTTTCTAAATGGTAATACATATATTTAGCACTGTGGGATTTGGGTAATATCTTGAATTTACTGTGAAAAGTGAGCCTAGTGAAGAAATTTCCAGAGAAGTACATGCTGTTTGCAAATCTTCAGCCTCAGTTTTCTGCCCCTGAAGATACTCCTATGATGGAAATAACATTTATTCTTGTAAAAAAAAGACATACTGTTCCTTTAATGCCATCTCACAAATGAGTACTGAATACGTAATGTCAGGTGTGATTGTAATAGTACAAGGCCAAATTGCATGAAGCATCACCAGAAATTGTCTCTGTGACAGTATTTATTTAGAAATAATGTCTAAGGCTTATTCCTTTCATCTCTAGCATCTTAAAGGTTGCCTCACCACTCAAAGCCAAGGAGGGCAGTAAGTGGACCCTCATTTTGAGTATTGCTCCAAGTGTTGCCTCCCAGCATTCTCTGCCTTCCACATCTTTCCCTGCACTTCTCAGTCTTCTTTGAGATCACCCCTCTCTTGTTTGCCACTTTGACTCTTTTTTTACATGATCTCAACTTTCTGATTTTGATACCAAACCCTACACCTATCTAAGGCTTTTGCTGTTTCTTACAGAGACCTAGACCCAGTTCCATAAGCCATTGATTGACTGGTAGAAGAGACAGAAATAAAGTTTAGGCTTCCTGTCATGAACCATGAAAGGTACTTACCTTTCCTTGGAAATTTATCAAGAATCCTTGGCCAAGATGTATTGATTTGCAGGACCAAGGAGACTATATCAACCTCTATTTTGTCCTGAAAGTTGCTGTGGATCTGGCCAAATTTGGTTGCAGTTCTTATAATTAAGCTTCAGACCATATGGCATATAAAATCTGAGTATACAATGTTTTGTGTAGATTTGGAAAATCAAGAACCCTTTTATTAATATCTAGGTTCAGTCACTTATTGCTCGTGGCCTTGGGTACATTTCTTAACTGCCTTTTGCTTCAGTTTCTGTAAAATACCTACTATGTAGTTTCCAAGGTGTTCTCACTTAAGAGCAATGCCATTACAAGCATCAGTCTTTGTCATTGGTGTTTGATATAGTATTAGTTAGCTTTTAGTAACTGTGAAAAAGTACTTGGAAAAGTCAATTTAAAGGAGGAAAGGCTTATTTTGGATTATGGTTTCAGAAGTTTCAGTCCATGGTTGGGTGGTTTCACTGCTGTGGGCCTGAGGTCAGGCAGAACATCTTGGAGGAAGAGCATGGTAGGGGAAAGATGCATACCTCATAGCAGCCAGGAATGAGAAAGAGAGAACCAGAAAGGAAGGTGCCAGGAGCAAGATATAGTCCCTAGGTCATTGCCCAGTGGCCCACTCCCTTCAACTAGGCCCCACCTCCTAAGTTTCCATTACCTGTCAATGCTATCAAATTATGATCTCATCAATGGATTAATCCACTGATGAAGTTAGAGCCTTATCATCCAATCACTTTCTGAAAGTCCCACTGCTAAACACAAGGGACTTTGGGGAGATATAGAGATCTAAACCATAACAGCTATTTTTCCTTATTACCCTGAACTACAAAACAGAGTGTTTGTAAATCCTTTTTTATCCTCTGATGCCAAAGTTGAGTGTCATTAAATCCATAAAATACATTCTGAATACAAAGCAAAGTCACAAAAAGTACCTCATTCATTGTTAAAATATTACCTCAGCCAGTGAACAGCTGGATGTTGTGATTGTTTGGAAGCTCTGGGGCTCAGTATTCAGCGTTGTGAACCCTTTGAGTTTTCACCCCTGTTTGCCTGTTATAATGATTTACTAGGACATCAATACAGATTAGTTTTGCAGTAATTAGCAACATCTTGGTTAACATCTAAGCCCTCTTGACTCTAACTTTTTTTTGTACCCGGGATCGAACTCAGGACTTTGTGCTTGCGAAGCAAGTGGCAGAACCACTGAGCTAAATCCCTGGCCCTTTTTGTTAAACTTTTATGCAACATAATAAAAGTTCAGAGGCTTTGTGGGAGAATATCATATTCTTTCAGGATTTTAAAATCCTGAAATCTTACTTAGCAATCTGAATCCTACTTAGCAAAATCCTAATCAAAGCCCACTGTGGATAGAATAGAAGATAGATAACATAAAACTGATTAGCCATACCTTAATATCTTCAACTATGCTCACAATTTTATGAATTTTGATTAGCGACCAACCCTTTACCATTTAACTATATATATAGTCAAAGTTTTATGTTAGATCTTATATAATATAGATACAATATTTAACTTGGAAGGATTTTATTTATAATATTTATCTTTAAAATTATTGATAGAAACTTTTATAGTATATGAAAACCAGGTGAAGCTGTATAAAAAAATTACCACATTTACTAACTGTCCCCTTTCCTCACACCAGAGAGTATGCTTGCCACTTAGGCCCCTGGTGATATAGAGAAAAAGAATAGTAATATTTACATAGATCCTTCACAGTTTTGAGAAGAGGAAAGCAAAAAGCTGTTGTGTAGAAAAACTACTTTTGTGTGATCATGTGAATTTTGTGAGATAATACATATGGGTTTTATGAGAAGCTTATACTCAAGCAGTTCTTTAATTCACAGGCATGTTCATCTAACTGCCTGAAACATCTAGGGAGTAATACATGAACTGTTGTCCTTCATGGATAAAAGGAGAGCAGATGTGAGACTGCACAGATGGTGCTTTAAAAGGAGAATTAAGCACTTCTGATACATTGGCAATGACATCTGTCATGCAAAGTGTTATGGAAAAACTGGAAAACTAAGCATGTAGACATAAAGTAAATATTGGCTTCTGTCTTTTGTGGGGTTTTTTGGTATTTAGGCCAGCGTCTCACTGTGTAGTTTAGGCTGGCTTTGAACTCACTATGGAGCCCAGGCTGGCCTTGTACTGGCAGTGATGGTCCTGTCTCAGCCTACTGAGTGCTGAGATTACAGGCGTGTACCACCATGCCCGACGGCTTCTATCATTTTTAGCACATTTTTTCATGAAAATAGTTTATTGTAGGTTTTACCCCAGTTAAATGTTAATCTGTCTTCTTTAGAGAAATAGTATAATAATACACACATGTATTTTAATTTCTTTTTTAGCAAAAACATTTATTGGTACATTACTGTTCATTTTTATCCATCTACTTATTGATTAAATTTATAATATACATCAGACACTATTTCAAAGTCACAAAAAATTACTTGAGTGTAAGAAGAACTGTAGAGAAGGAAGGTAATCTCACTTAGCAGTTTTTCTGTAATAAGTAGTAATGTCAACACATAGTAAAAGAAGAAGTAACATGAACAAACTTAAGTTTAATTCTCTGACTACATCCAGTCTTAGTACCAGTAACTCCATGAAGCAAATTTTTGGTTTGGATGTTGGGTCACGTTGTTTCCATAGAATAGTGGGAGTGGGTTAACTGCTCACTTGTGTTGCTAACACAGATGTCTTAGAACTCTGTAAATTAAGGATGACAAAATATATGCCAAACATAATGATAAGAGCTTTGGCCTTTCAGTTTTCATTGTTTATTCTTTGATTTTCAGACAATAGCATCACGCTTCTTTGGCATTCTGTATAGCAGTTCATTTGGATCTAATTTTTGTGATAGTTTTATTATCAGGATGGTAACAACTTTAAAAATAATAGAGCAATTTAGACTGAGGCTAGGTTAGACCCACTTATATTCTGCAAAACTATAGAGTGCAATGGTGTCTTTTAATATATTTATATTATTTATGAAGAGTGACCCACTTCCATCTTTACAGCTGGCATCTGGTATAGCTTGCTTATCTATTTTACTGGCAATCCTAAGACAAAGATTTTTCTCTGTGGAGGCCACTTTTGAAGGCATAGTGCTGCCCTGGATGGTAATCTCATCATTTTACTAATTACTGTAATTACTAGTAATTACTAATTTACTAATTTTACTGCTTTCTAAAGTACTTTTCTTCATATCATTTTCTCATGACATAATAAAATCACTTATAGTATGCAAAATCACTTAAGCTTTTCATTGGTAGTGTGCATACACCATATTAAACTTCTATTGAATGTTTGGATATTTTTCAATTTTTCCTTATTATAAACTTCTAGAAATGAAATTACTATATTGAAGAGTATAAAACTTTTAAAGGCTTTTATGACTGATTGCCAAATTGTCATCCATATATATCACACTAGTATCACACTGATATATATCACCAGCAAAGTGTACATGTAGATATTTTGCTAAAACTTTAATAAAGCCAGATATTGATATCTTACATTTTACATTTTTGCTAGGGTTAGTTGAGAAAACTATCATTGTTGTTATTTTTCAGTTTTCACATATTTATTGCCCATAAACCTTGTTCTTACTTCTTATTCATTACTAATTTTTTGCATCAATTAGTAAGAATTCTGCATATTAAAGATTTAACACTTTGTTTTTTAAAAATCTTTCCAAAGTTTATTTTACTCTCAATTCTGCTTATGTTATTTTTGAAATTATAACTTAAAATGTTTTATGTAGTCATATGTATTAGTTTTTCCTTTATGTTTTCTTCTTTTGACTTACTTCCATTCTTATAGTATTTTATTTGTGATATTTGCATTTTTAAATACTAAAAGTGGTTTAATATAATCTTCAATTGAAGTAAATGATGATTTAGTTTGTTGTTTATCATTCCATTTTAGGGAAACTTTTTTACTTTTTGTCCTGCTGATAAGAATATCAACAGAAATAGGACAAACAAAAGAAATGAATTAATCTTACTCTTTTTGGATGTATGATTTAAAAATCTGGTGGGAAAGCAGGCCAACATTTTAACATTAGATGATTAACTTTTCTGAAAGAAATTTTAGGATTTACTTTTTGATTTGTGGGATAGATGCATTCTCATAATATTGACTATAATTATTAATATTTTAATTCTTTTCTCATGGTAGTTCATGTTAAATTAGAAATTATGTCCTAGCAAGGTTTGGGTAAATCTTATAGCCTACTTTGCCATTTATCAAGAAGTGATTATTTTTAACTTTTTATTCATCTTAAAATTAGTTATAATGCATGATGTGCTATAAAAATCACATTTATTTCCTCTATATACTGTATATAAGTAACTACATAGTATATATTTTTGAATTGAAATGCTACTCTTATGATTAGCTACATTTATTTCCATATTTATATGTATGTGTACATATATACATACATATGTGGCTTTCTTTTTTATCACCTTTTCTGTTTTAGAACAGTCTCTTAATATTTTAATTGTTGTTTGAAATACATTTTAATATAAAGTGGTCACTGTATTTTTAATCACAATACTCATAAGAAAAAGTGATTTAAAACATTTTAGAAACATTTCATTTTAAAATGCATTTTTAAAATTTCACCCTTTTGCTTTTCACAATACTGGGGGTCAAAACTAGGGTTGCTCTACCATTCACCTATATCCTTAGCTATTTTTATTTTATGTTTTGAGACAGAGTCTCACAAAATTGCCCAGGTAGGCTTTGAACTTGAAATTCTCCTGCCTCGGCCTCTGCAGTGCTGGGTGTACATGTATGGCTCACTATGCCTGGCTCAAGAAATTACTTTTTAATGTTAAACTTATGTCAAACAGGAACAGTAACTTCTACACATTCACAGTAAAACCTAAATAAAATATGTAATCAAAATATAACATACACTAATACTAGAAATTATGGTAATTCGACATAAATGGGCAAAGATCAGACCCTTACTGAGGTAGCTGCTTATAACTTGGTCATTTTGAGGCCATTTCTCAGGTTGTGTGTGATGGAAAGGGTTGAAAGCACTCTGTTGGAGCTGGTCCTTGTTAGGTTTGATGGATGGTGGAGACTCCGGTTGCACTGTTGCATCCCCACTCCCAACCTGCAGCTGGCTCTTCACGAATCACTGTCTTGACCTTGGCTTTCCCTGTACTCCCTGGTTCCTGACCGTTTATCGAGCATGTGGACTGTATCCATTCTCACTCCTCCCTTAGCCATCTGCAGACTTCTTGGCCTTTCTAGTTCCACCTTACAGCCTTGTTTTCCCAATTCACTGACATTCTTGATGCTCCCACTGTGACAGAAAGCAAAGGGCCTTCTCTTCTGGCCAGCTGACCTTTCTCCTAGTCTTTACAGGCACTGGCCTTTTCTCAAACACTTTAATTTCACACAAGAAAGCTTACAGAACTGCACTTGCAATATAGTCACACTCTTACAATATAACCACAGTAGATATCAGTGTTACCTATTAAAGCAGTTTAAGAATTCATCATAGCTGAGCATGGTGGACCACACCTGTAGCCCTGGCACCCTGGAAGGCTGAGGCAGGAGGATTTTAAGTTCAAGCCCAGTCTGGGAGGTTTAGCAATTTGTTGAGAACCTGTCTTGAAATTTAAAAGTAAATAAAAAGGAAAGGTGACATAGAAAGAATTAAGATGAATTATGTACATTTACAAGCTCTCTGCAATGACTATAACCATAATGTACTTGAAACATGTACTAATAAACATTTAAAAAATAGGAGCTGCAGATGTAACTCGGTGTGAAGGCACTGGATTCAATTCTCAGTACTTAAAAAGAGCAGACTTCATCATTTTCCTTTTTACCACCTCCTCTACTTTGGGTTCTACAGTAGTGCTTCCATTTACTTGCGTGTTTTGTTTTGTTTTCTGCTCCAAGATGTACTGTATTATTGTAAGAAAGATAAATAATAATTATGACAACAAGGCAAGATCAAAAGAAAAGTGCCAATTAAGAAAGGAGGAACAGAGAAATAGTACCAAAAACCAAAATTTACTTTAGCGACATAACTAAAGATAATCGTTCAAGAACATGCCGTTAACAATGACTGCTTCACAAACTCATATTACATTTTTTCTGATGTCTGTTAATCACTAATCAAGCTTGGAGGATTGAACCTTTAAATATTTACCAGGTGGAGCTGACTCGTGCATAGGTACAAATTGCTCCACCACCAACTCTGCCACTTCAGGTCCATAAAAGGGGGAGCTTTAAGAACATAAATATTTTGTAATGTTTTACACCATCCAGGACATTACATGTTGCTTGTGAAAGAATTCAGAGAGACAAGAATTTTGTTCACTCTAGAGTAATGGCATTCTGCAAATGCATACCAAGAGCAACAATGATGATTCTGCACTTTTTCTCAGCAAGAATCCAATTAGGAGGCCCAAAGCATTAGCTGCCTAGGTACCATATGCTGTGTCTGTTTTTATGCACTATAATTTCAGGCCTTCCATCACCTTAGAACAATTAGTTGTCCTTTCCATGGAGAAAGGCAGAATGGTACATTTCAAAGCCTAAAGACTAAGCAGAATTTTCAGATCTTAGGAAACTTTCCAAGCATTTTCTGGAAAACGATGTTTAATGATAACCTGTAACTGTAAGGAAATGATTTCATGAGTTATAATTACATAAGCATTACAAATTGATGAACCAATAAAAGCAATTTTTTTTGAGCTCCAGAGAGTTTGCAATCCACTGGTTGGAATTTCAGTAGATTATTAAAATTAGCTTCTCCACTTTGCAACTCCATGAGGCGGTGGAAAAAGAAGGTAGATGAGATGTGGGACTGAATTTTGCCCCCAAACCTCACTTTGGGGGAGGGGTGGGATGGTGAGGTGCTGAGGAAGGTGGATAGGCCCAGCCCATTAACCCTTCAGAGAAAGTGGGAGGACAATGTAACAACAACACCACCAACAACAACCACAAAACTAGGAAACTTGTCCTGAAGACTCCAAAGTGTATTCTATTTCCTTCAGGCCCAGAGCCTTGGGTTTATGAAGTGACCCTGTAATTCAGTGGTTCTTAAACTGGACCAGTAGTTAGAAGTCAGATCCCCTCTTTGGTCCCTCCCTCCACCAGCTGTGGTTTAATTGCTTAGGGTGGGACTAAGCCAGTGTAGTTTCCTAAAGTTCCACAGATGATTCCAACATTAGCGAGGGTTGTCACGGAGTGCTGTACTGCTGTGTACACCTAAGTGTCTGTAGACTGAAGAAATACCAGATACATATGTGGATCTTTTGTCACCTTTTCCTCCATAATTGATGGATCAGTAATTGAGATACAAATTCATTTGAAAGCAGCAGGGAATGAATAGGATTTTTGTTATTACATTGTCCCTCATAGGTGCTGTCCTGTGGGTGTTCTCAGCATTGAAAAATGTGAGTATCTGATCTATGAAAGACCCAAAGTAGAGTTAAGATTTTTATTTAGAAAGTCACCCTTAGGGTTTAAATAGTGGTCACGATAAGGTCTTGTTTGTGGAGATGGGAAGGGGATTTGGGGATGGACAGAGACCCCAGGGTGGGGAGAAGAATGGGAAGTAAAACTGATTAAGATGCAATATGTATATGTACCAATTCCTCAACATGAATGTAATTATTATGTATGACACACATATACGAATAAGAAAAAGACTAGTTCCTGACTTAATTCTGAGCATAGGAAAATTTTATATAAAGTGTTGGGGATGGAGACTCAATACTTAAATACTGGGGCGATAAAAGGGGTCTTAGGTAATCCATCTGGGCCATGAGCCATGACTCGGCTCCTGCTGTAGGGGGCCTTGAGTGGTTTCTCTGAGAAACTGGAGAGATGGGATGGATTAGTTGTGCTTTAAGCTTTTTTCTTTTTCATCCTGGGGTTTGAATGTAGGACTGTCACACTGAACTCTATCCCTAGCTACGTCCTCCCTCCTTAATGTTTTGGGTTTCTTTAAACTTTGAGACAGGTTCTCACTAAATCACTAAGTTTCCCAAACCAGGGTCAAACTTGGGATCCTCTTGCCTCAGGCTCCCAGAGTGCTGAGATTGTAGCAGAGCACCACTGTGCCTAGCTCCTATAAGGCTTCTTGAAAAAATCTTTCCTTGGGGCTGCAGGAATTCTCAAGCACAATGAATCTTGATTTTTTTTTTTTTTCCGCAACACCATGAAAGCTCTGACTACCCAGGTTAGATTTCTCCAGGCTGAGTGGACCTTGAAGGCAAAGACCCGTTTTCTCCTTGTGAACTATGACATCACATTCACTTTAGGAACTTGTGAAAGAGGCTGCAAGATCCTGGGTCAGAAATTTACCTAGTTACTGTTCTGTAGGTACAGGCCACCGCTCAGTTCTTTTACTAAAACATATAAAATGCTTTTGGCCTTCTGACCGTCTTTTTAAATGTTAAAATTCAGAGCTGAGTGCCACATACAAAAGACAGGTCTGCACAAAACACACTGAGAAGACCTTTTCATGTCTCAAGAGTAGGCACCTATAGTTAATATATCTGAAGGAAAAATATTATGATATAAAAATACTCGAAGCAAGAAGAGTCTACCACGATTGTAAGAAACTCATTCTGGATTTTAACAATCTTATTAAAGAAGCACTTACCTGAATGTATATAGAAATCTCTCCTTATAGCTCATTTCATGTTCTCTCAGGAAGATGAATAAAAATTGAGCACCATTCTCCTCATATTTCATCATAGACCTAGAGGCATTTGTTAGTTTTCCATTCATGTTTGTGTTTTTAGAAACAAAAAAAGCCCAGTGGTTCTGCCTTCTTTATTGGTCCTGTTTCCTCTGTATCTGGCTTTCTGTGATGCTTTGCTGTGGCATGTGGCAAACTTCTGGAGATGCTCAGCTTAAAAGTTGCTGGTCAAGGTTCTCATCCTTACATGG